TGGGATTGCATTTGATACAAAGACCCTTGTACACATGGTCATTTGTGAGAGGTGCCTTTTTAAAGACGGAAATCGTATGCGTCTTGACACCGCACTGGACACACAGCCCTTTACGCTTGGCAATGGCGGCTCGCTCTTCTTGTGTCAACGCCGTTCCATTCTTGGCAAAGTTTGGAATCACATCGTTGCTAACAAATCGATGTTGTTGTTGTTGCTGTTGCTTCTTGGGGACGACGGGTTTTTCAATAACTGTGGTGGTACCAACTTTGTTTCCATGAATCCTGGAATCATTATTATCCACTTGAACGGTCGAGGCATCAGAAGTTATGGACATCTCCTCCGATCCAACATTCTTTGGACCCATCGTCGCAACTGGCAGCATGCTAGAGCCACTTTCCATCCTCCCCTACTGAACGTGGCGTTACGCGATGTCTCGTGTGTTCACACTTGTCTCTTTGCTTCTTCACAGGGTTCAGGCCTTCCTTGGGAAACGTTACAGTAGAGGCTGATATGCAAGGACCCCTCTCCATAGCAAGCGGACTACCGTGACTACTAACTCTAGCTAGCTAATACGGCATCGATACTAGTACTGGTACTGGTAGCAAGCGCCACAAGCGAGGATCATGGTCAACAGTTACTGCTGCAGGTAAGGTACCGTACTGGTAGGCTAGCTACACAAGTGGAGTGAGAAAGGAAAATCGCGGGTTGTGTCTTGGTCGCACTTTGGAGTTCCATAGAACAGTCCGTCCTTAACCCAAAACCTTCCTTCTCAACTAAAAAAAACGTGTTTCTTTTATTTTGGATCCACGGCAGACTGCAGCAGCGACCGTGACACAAGCCACAAGCGCCTCCAAGAAGGACCATTCTATCGTTTAGCCGCAACCGCAACAACGCAAAGCCTGCTGTTGCTGCCTTATTTCATTCAGCAATCGCTTCTCGAATGGCTTGTGGGCCGTCGCGTCCCAGCTCCGACATTGACATTGCCACTGGTGAACCTACCCCAATGAAGGAAAGCGGGAAAGGTAAGAAAGAAGTGTGGTCGGAAGAGGAAAAGAAGCAGGATGAAACTCGAGGATTTGCAGGAAGGTCTCCCAGCGACAATCCAAGGGGTCCGGTATGATGACGGTGGAGACCTGTTCAGGGCACTTGAAAAATGGGCCAATCTGATTTGAGGATTGTGCTTAGCGACCAGGGGTACGCTGTGTGGCAAGAGACGCCCAGCCCTATCCACAACTCCGCAGTCCAAAGGATTCAGAAATCATTCGAGAAATAGGAGAAAGAGCAAGGTGCAGTTTTACACGGAGAAAAGGAAGCTGATCTTTACTACATGAAAAATTTCAAGAAGGACAACAAGCGTGTTGCAGATTATGCCATGGGTTTGACGTGTACTTGACCCGTCAAGGGGAACTGCAGAACGTATTGCCAACGAGCCGACTTTCGCCTACCATGTGAATGCTGGGGAGAACGAGGATGATGTGACCATTGAAGTTGCCGCAAATGACATGGGGTTACCATCGGAAGTCAACAACTTTTCAATTTCCCTTGCCAAAATGCACAGTAGCATGGAGAAGTACGAAGTTGTTTTGAGGCCAAGCCTGAGAGTGAGGATGAGGATTAGACCAAAATATATAAATAAATACTCGTAGTACTCAAGAACGCATTAGATGGGATCGAAGTTACTGCCTGAGAAGTCAATCACTTTTGAAGAACTTGCGGAGTTCGTCAAGAGTGTTGTCGGGTAGTTTCAGGGACGTCATTTTGGTGTTAAACTCAGGGTGCTTCGTCAGTTTGTAGATTGTAATGATCTTGTTGCCAAAGTCATTGCGGATGTGTTCCTCTGCAGCTGTTGCAATCCTCTTGAATGTTTGCTTCCACGAATCTGATGTTCCCAGCGATCCTTCAGGACAGGGGGAAGGGAAGGAATCAACGTGCATTAAGACCATCTTAACGGCTTCTTGATGCTGCCGAAGAGATTGCGTAGGCGTTTCCTTTCAGTTGGATGCAAGTCGTTCCAAGAGGGGGCTTTCAAATCCAAGTCGTAACCGTACTGATAGTTCTCAGTGAAGAAGGCAGTGGTTACATCTGTCACGGATGATTGGTTTGTAAGGCCCTTGCTGCTGATGGAGAACCCAATAACATTGGGGTAAGCGGGTCCTGGGTGAGTGATACCGTGTTCATCAACACACCTATCATCAGGAGCTCCCATAAAGAGGTGGTATTCAACCCTTTCGACTGAGTTTCGCATGGTCAACAGGCTCGACACAAAGTACCTGTCTGCCGCGCTTCATTACCTAGGTGACGTGGTAGGATGTCATTGAGCATATGTTGTTGGCGTTGGACATTCATGTGGATTGATTGGGTTACCGAAGCGAGAGCATTGAACTGATCAGTGAAACAGCGGGGATCCATGTGTGTATCATTCCATTCTCTCCACCGTACAAGGAGAATTGTCAATTGGGATGGCTGGCAAGTTGCGAGACAGGAAGGCCTTTCGGGCCTGGTCTTTCCAGTAGTCGAACTTGGCATCGTAGACTTCTGCATTCTTCAATGCTTGGTTTATGCGGCAAACAAAGAGATGGGTGGGGCTGAAGGTGGGAGTAGCGTCAGGGTGTGATTGGAGGACTTCCATGAATTGGTCGTATCGGAGGAGTAGGGACATCGCCAGCATTTCTCTGACCTTGGGATTCCAGCGGTTGTTTACATCGTCTTCGAACAGCAGGTTGACGAATTGTTGAAGTTTCTTCAAGTCTCCTTCCATGTCGGCAAAGGTAGGAGGTTGCCCTCCGATAATGGTGTCACCGATCTTGGCTGTCCATCTACTTATTGCTTTGCCTGCTTGTTGGGACATGACAAAGCTGCCACAAATGTATTGAAACAGGGTATCACAGCCACGGAGTTCCCAGCCAGTTCTGAATATCTGCGCAAGACCAGAGACAGAAGGAGAATCGGCCATGACTTGGTTAGATTCTTTCTTGTTGCAGTGGGAGGAGAGCTTATTGTTGATCCGATCACTGAGTGTTTCGAAAATGTTGCACAGCTCATCGAAGAGGCTAGTCCAAAGAGAGGAGACCTTGCTATCGGATTTGTTTGACTTCAGCTTCGGACAAAGACTCTTTGACAACATGGACAAGCAACACCAGCACAGAGAACATGACGTGAAGCTTTCCAGTTGGGTATTCTGGCAATTCTCTTGTTGTTGTTGCTTGTGCTCTTTGCTTCACTCGCCTCTTCCAGGGTGTGACATACCGTATGTACACCAGATGAGCTGAAATACACATCTGAGCCTCAAAGGTAGAGGAGTTTGCCTTCAGCTTCAAGCTTCGTGGGCAGCCAGACTTCTATAACAGTACTAAAGGCATTCTAATCTAGCGAACCTGAGCATCATAATCATGGAACATCTTCCTCCGTTTACCAGCAGGAAACTCATGCGCTGCATGCTTTTCCCCTCGCGGTGATCCTTTTTGTAATGGAAGGCGTCTGGGACCCCAAACACTAGCTGGAACTCTGGCTGACCAACTTTGGCTACACTATCAGAAGTCGTTTTCTCTTCCTGGAACAAGAAGGGTTTGAAGCACTCGGTTGGGACCATGAATGCAGTGTAAGCCTCCCCTTTCTCTTTGAACCCAGGAATCTTCTCATTGAAAACAGCTTTAAACTTCTTTCTGATGTGTTGCTTGATGGAGTGATCTGGCCGACAAGGCAAGCCTGTTGCACCAGACACAGTCATTTGCAGCAGCAGCATGATCTTCTTTGTCTTGAGCTTGTCCACTCCAAAATGCTTGCCCTCAAAGAAGAAGACTGAATCATAAGTAGGGAAATTTCTGGAAATGGGCCTGTGGTATTTGTCAAGTGTCGTGACAGCCTCTTCATGCTGATCTTCCCCAAGGATGGCTGGATCATTGGATTTGAAGCGGCTTGTACCGCTGGTTTGAGGTAGCTTAACTTGGATGGTTTTGCCGTTCTTGTTGTTGCTGCGAAAAACCATACGCATGTTGAGTGGTTTGTCCCCATTGCTGCTTTCGATCATTCGATGGCAATACAGCTCAAATAGAGCTCCATAGACACATTCAAAGCCATCCTGTCCTTCCCAGTTGGTAAGACAGTTCCTGAGCGTTTCCTCTCCTCTGTTAAGGAGCTTTTCATAGATAGCTTGCAACAACTTTGGGGAACCAATCATAAGATGAAGATGATAATTGTCGAAAGAATAGTGCTGCCCGACACTCTCTCCATCAACCTCGTCTTTTTTGGCTTCGTCGCCCTCAGCTCCAGTTGAAAAGCTAAAATGGGTCTGCTCTTGTCGAACTCAACTTGCAGATGAACAAGTGAGCCCCTTCCACCAGTGTTTTTTTGTTAGCACCTCATCGCCAAACAAATTTACAACTTGAACAACTTTCTTCATCAATTCTTCCCAGAGTTGGCCATTGACCCAGCCTCGGATGCAACCGCCAAACCAACTGTATCGATTGTCAATCTCGTCTGGAGACAAGCCTGCAAGAGAGGAGGTAGCCGTACCGTCGTCTGAGTGATCGTTCAAGAACTGCAAGCATCCTTCGGCTTCGAACTTGGTCCAGATGGGCATGTAGAAATACTTCATTCTGATGCCTTTCAATTTCCAGCTGCTGATCAAACTGTTCCCGTGAGACAAGATGAAGATAAGTCGTGGGATGTATTTTTGTCGTCCTGCTACCTCGTCATCGCCTGGTTTTGGATCCTGAATGAAGATGATCCTAAAACGACTTGCGTTGTCGATAAGACCAAGCCACGGCTTCATAGGATCACCGGCATCACACATTCCACAATAGAGCTTGCTGCCATCCGATAACTTTAGGAGCGAGAGCTCTGGATCCCGTCAGAGATAGCTCCAACACTATGCTGGCCTACAGCTCCAGCATGCACAGTTGGCTATCTCCAGCAAAGCAGCAAGAAAGATCGTCCTTTCTACCATAGTTAAGAAAATAGTACGAAAGATTGAACCGATCCTGATTAGCTTGTAGCCCCTTTGATACCGCAGCAGTTTATACCAATCCTGTTGAGGCACGGGCAGAAGCAGTAGGAGGTAACAGATAGTACTGTTCCCAGACTGCCACTGCAAGATTGAAAAACGAAGGCTCCCAGCTCCTTAGGAGAGCTGGCCCAAAAAGGCCAGCAGAGAGCTCTGCTTGCCCCCCTGTCTGACTGACAGGACCAAGTCCTTGGTTTGGTGCCTACTGGAGGTGTTGGAACACTTCTGAGGCACGACAAGGCTCCCTGAACTGCCTACTACCGCTGTCCCTGAGGAAGGGTTTCAGCGAGATCATTCCACTACTTGAGTACTGGAACTGACTTCAGAGCTTATTGGATTAACAGTCAGCATAGAATTTCAGGCATTTTAAGGGAAGGAGAGTCACCAGTTGACAGAAGGAGCTCTCTGCATCTACAACAATCAGTGCTACACTACAGTTACAGTTGGTTTCATTGGATTTGACAGCAGGATTTCAAGCTCACTTTGAAGTCTTATCTCAACAACCTTCTGGTCAATTTTGATACTTCCAACCTTCACACAGTGACAAGCACCTTCAGCTTGACCATACACCAATCCTACCAAGGCCAACACCATCATCAATTGCCTTGAAAGGACCTACACAAGCTCAGCATCATCTTGACAAACCCTTGTCGTGTCGGTACCTTAGCACGAAGTTTGCACAATCAACCAATTCACTTCACTCGAAAGAAGAAGTTAACTGGTCCCCCAGTAACCGGACACCTAGGAGTCTCCGAGAGAACACAGATTATTGATTTTGCCACCTATCTTGGCAATAACGAGCAATCCTTTACGAGGAAGATCCTTTTCAGCGAGTTACGTGACTTATTACTGAAGACCGGGGCATATCGCTTCAGCTTGTTCCGTGCAGTTTTCGAGGTCACAGTTTCTCGTCCTGTACCGGATTCAGCCTTTTTCGGAACGTTGAAGAAGCTCTCACGGAAGCTGATAGCCAATCAAATCGGCCGTGCAGGATTCGAGCGTTCCGGAAATTAGGTACTTATTGCGAGTACACTGGTCAAGTTTTGCACGACCGAAAACGTTCCTTACGATCCGAGAGCTTCCTGTACCGGTTCTTGCATTTATCGTGCAAGGTTCCCCGATCCGAAAGCAGGCCCAGTTTCGTAAACTGGATTCACGCTCACATTTTAAGGAGTTTACACGTCGAGTCATTGAAAATCGTGAAATCGCGATTTTCCTCACGGAGCCACCTATCCATCGAAGAGGCAACTCGGAGAGCTCTCGAGGCAACCAAGCGATGTTCGAGTCGACTTGAGCTGAGTTACCACTGACCGCCATCTTTTTTGGTCAGTGGTATCTCAAACCTTCGTATATTGAAGCTTGTTTGTGGGGAGATTCATTGAGCTCGAATGCTGCTCCCATTTGGCAAATATCCCACCAAAACCTAGGCGTTTCCAGCACCACAGGCACACAAGAAGCTGTTTCCAGAGCCTGTACACCAGGCTACTTATTCAATTACCACCCATTGAGTTTCCTAGACCCCATAGCAAGGTCCCAAGAAAGTATCCTTTTTGTGGTTTCAAAGTACAGTTGAGTCAGCCTTATCTACGCTACAGGAGCTGAAAACAGTGCTTCCACCGGTACAGCAGGTAACCTCTTCTTTGTCAGTAACAAAGGTCACCATGTCTTTCTAGTTGTCTACAGCGATTGAGTGACCCTTATGCCCCTGGCTATCCGACCGTGGCTGGCACGTACGTCTACTCTGGTCCCCAACAAGGACCAAGGTAGCTACACCTGTGCCCGCCTCACACACCACGATGGAGCTGCCAACAGCAACCTAGCCTACCCGCCACCAGTATCGGGACACACAGCACACCAGGTCACCACCAGATGAATACACATCACCCTTCGACATCCTTGAGAAGAGGACGGCACCCATGGCCTACGGTAGGACCAACACCAGCTGGGTTTGATGGGGAGATTTCAGAGCTGTCTCCTCAACAGCTCCAGTTGTCAACCAGACCTCATCTATAACCCAGCCATGGAAGACATGCTGATCCGTTTTCAACAGCAACAGGTCACTCGTAGCTCGACAACACTCAGGTTTCATCTTACACATGAGAGCTGACCACGAAACCTTCAAGCGAAAGGTGGAAGCTCAGTTCATCCGTTGAAGGACCAACTGGCAATCAACTGGAAGCCTTGGGTTGGTAGCTGCTAGGCCACTTTGCCACAGCACCTACACCTGCTTTGACACCATCAGTTCTGGGGAGACCAATGCCACTACACTGTCAGCCATGGACAGTGATGATGGCGTCCACAACCGACTGGTGACAGCGCTATGGGTCTCCCAAGGCTCCACAGCCCAAAGCAGCAGCAGCGCCACCAGGCTATCCGTTCCAGCCAAGATGCCAACTGCCATCCAGCAACGATTGACTGATGCCCTCTTGGCACCAACCAGTCGTCCCACCAATGTAGCCACGGCTCCACTCCCAGCTAGCTTTGGGGAGTCGCCTGTCACACGACCCATGCGTTTCCCAGCTACGAGCCACCACCTGCCCAGTGCCACACCCATTCAATGCCCTCGCTGGTGCCCATCCATCGTTGGATGATGGGGGAGATTATCGAGCTTGCCAGCCCTAGTAGTCATCAACCTCTGGGAGATCATGATGGCAAAAACTCCAGCCAGTAAGCAACCAGCTTCCAGAGCTGGGCCACACAACATTCCAGTTGCACAACCAAATAGAACAAGTGTGGCTCCCACACGTCAGCTCTACAACCAGGGCACATGAGCAGACTCACCAGTGGGACCCCCAAGCCACCTGCCCCAAGGCACAGAGCAAACAAGGGTCCCACCACAACCAAAATTGGCAGGAGACCTAGTTGGTCCTCACCCACAGTGACAGCCAACGGTTCCCCAGCCTGGTTCCCACAAAACCACCAACCTATGGCACAGCCATATGCCACAAACTTGTCCCAATGAGGTACATTGTCTTCGGATACACTAGGCTCCAGTCTCAGGTCCACCAACATCACCAAGTCCATTTGCCCAGAGGCCCACAGCTACCCTCTGCTCTTGGTGGAATCCATGGCGGAGCAACCACCAGAAGCCACCTTTGACCAGACAGCTTTGGTGTCTCCTAAACCCAGGAGCTGACTGCCTTGGTGTCGCCTTCCCAGAAGCTGACACGCCACCATGCTTTTCTACCCCAAAGCTGGCTGACAGGCATTAGTGCATGGCAGGACAATCCCGCTGACGCCCCGGATTTTCGGACGGGCAACTAGACTACGTCCCTGTCTGGTACAGCCCATCCATCACATCCATCAAGGGACATGATGCGGTGCCAAAGAAGGCCGCTCTACTGAGAGCTTGCCGCCGCTGAGATTCGGCCTGTGGCAAGCACGAATATTTGTCTACATATGTAAGAAAACAAACAACAGCATATGATAGCACCAGCACCGCCGCCCACGCTAGTTTTGGCCATGCCTGAATGAACAAGCGCAACGCCCTTTGCCTACCTTTGGTCCAGCCAACCAACAACTCATGTGCAAGTCCCTCCAAGTTGAGATCCCCCATCTCGCATTGTGTTCCACTAGCAGTCGATGCTGCAGTGGCCCATGGAATGTTCCATTCATGGGGAGAGTTTGTAGATAGTTAGTTAGTAACTAGTCGTATATGTGGCATTCCCATGAGAGCGGATCCATTAGCACTCGTGGGAGCGATAAAGTCTAGGAGCGAGAGCTCTGGCATCGTCAGAGATAGCTCCAACAGCTATGCTGGCTAAAGCTCCAGCATGCACGTTGGCTTATCTCCAGCAACAGCAGCAGAAAGGATCGTCTTTCTACCATAGTTAAGAAAATAGTACGAAAGATTGGACGATCCTGATTAGCTTGTAGCCCCTTTGATACCGCAGCAGTTGAATACCTATCCTGTTGAGCCGGCAGAAGCAGTAGGAGGTAGGCAGATAGTACTGTTCCCAGACTTCCACTGCACGATTGAATAACGAGGCTCCCCAGCTCCTGAGGAGAAGCTGGCCAAAAGGGCCAGCAGAGAGCTCTGCTGGCCCTCCTGTCTGACTGACAGGACCAAGTCCTTGGTTTGGTGCCTACTGGAGGTGTTGGAACACTCCTGAGGCACGACAAGGCTCTCTGAACTGCCTGACTACCGCTGTCCCTGAGGAAGGGTTTCAGCGAGACTCAGTCCACTACTTGAGTACTGGAACTGAACCTTCAAGAAACTTATTGCCATCAAAGCTGCCTGGTGCTTCTGAGAGCCCAAAGAACTTCTTGACCTCGTCATCAAATGAAAACAGGAGTATGTCATTTTCTTTCCAATACACCACTGTCTGCCTGCTCTCCTTTTAACAAGATATCGTAGCAAGAATGCACCAAAGACAGTCTTGTCGATCCCGGGAGTTTCCGACAAGGCACAGACAAAACTGAATAGCTCTTGTGTGTTCTGGAGCTCCAAGGCATTGTGAATGTGTGGCAAGAGGTGATCGTATCACGGGCGAACAATGAGTTTGTCCATACCCAGAATGCGATCACCAATGCCTTCCCCAAGTGGTATGTGTTCGATAGTATCTTTGCCACCTTCCGGTATAGTTTCTTGGATATCGCCGAACAGTAAACTTGTGTAGAACCTATTGTTGATAGCGACCTGGAAAGGGTCCCTCATTGTTGATTCCTTTGTTTGAGGAGTCCGTCCTCAAAAAAAGCAGAATAAAAGTAACGAAGCCAACAAAGGTGGCTTTCTTGGTCTAACCCACGAATGAAGTGAGTGATCCCGATAGCGTACTACCAGTACCGGTACTAGCTAGCTAGCTAGTGTATCCTCCACTATGGTTGTCAGGCGACAACTCAGTTGTCACATGACAACAGCTTTTACAGCCTTGTTTAGAGGCTTTCTTCTACAAGAGCGCTACATACTTAGTACAGAATGGACTTTCCATATATCCTCGAGATGGAGCACATAAAATCAGGGCCGTTCTGGAGTTAACGGATAAGTTCAAACCATAGCCAAAGACACAATCCACGGAATCGATTTTGAGATAATAGGGATTCTGGCCAAAAGAGAGGAAAGGAGGCAGAATTCGCATTCGGAGGGGTATGTTTTAACATTGGATCACAAATAGAATGAGGTTCTCATTCAGTCCCACATGCCCGTTTTGTGGTCACTTCTCCCGTTCACTTTCTACAGTAACTGGTACACAAATGATTTGTGATGTCATGTGACAATAAATAGATGTCACATGACAATTTCAGCCAGGAGAGCGAACACCTAGCTAGTACAGAGAACAAAGTCCATCCTTAACCCAAAACCTGCTCATCCACGTATCTTTTGGATCCACGGCAGACTGCAGCAGCAGCACCATGACACAAGAGCCGTTCTCCAGAATCCACAAGCGCCATTTCACCATTTCGATTAGTACCAGGTACTTGTCCAACTAGCTACCGTAGCTGTCGAACAGCACCGTACGTAATATAAGCTACAATACAACCATGCCCTCCACGAAACTAAAGCGTTGGTCTCCCATGGCGTGTCTTCCCGTGGCAGCATTGACTCCGTCCGGATTGTTGGAAATGGACGTCAAAGACGGCGAAGTGGAATTGATGCGTCGAGGAGACATGGAACTCCGCTCGGACATGGCCGATCCCATGGTCCCCTTGAGCAGCGACGGCAGTGGTGCCGCTTCCACATCTGGCTTGAAATGGATTGATCGCGATGACAATCTACAAGTCTCCTTGACGACGCATCGCATCGTCTTTTTTGAAACTGATACTTCTGACAATCAACGCAATGCCCGTTTTTTGCACTTGTCCCATCTCCATCAAGTCACCAGCGTGGCGGGGGGCATGATGAGCGCCTTTTCGGCACCTCGCTTGACTTTGCATTCGTACATGGGAGACTTGTTGCTCATTTTTCGAGAGTCGGGAGCCGCCAAGGATCGAGACGATTTGCTCAAATTTCTGCAACGAGCTATGGAACGCAAGGCGTGGGAAACACAGCAACGATTGCAAGAAAAGAATCGAGCCTCACAGGCCATTGCCTCTCGAAAAGTGGGAGTGGTGAGAATTGTTTGTATATTGGAAGAAAAAAGAATAGAAGTCCCCGTTCCTCAACTCTTTTGCTTCTTGATTATTTGTCCTTGGCTTTGACCCCTTTTCCTTTATTGGTGTGTGTGACACAGGACGCCATCATCACCAAATCCAATCTCCGACACAAGGAAGCTGCACGGTTAACTGAAGATGCGTTCAAAGGAGACGCGGAAACCTTGCTGAGAGAAGCAGCACAATTGGTAAAGGTCATTCAAAAGTATGCAACTACCTTGGAAAAGGGGGAACTGGGAGAAGGAGAAGACACGACACGACTTTCCGACATGATGGAAAACATGGGCATGACCAGTGCCCTCTCACGACAAAACTATAGAGGAGGCACTTCTTCTTCCGGGGTGGCAGATGATTACACCACAACCCTCGCACGACAACTCGCCGATTTTTTACGTCCCCGTTTGAAAGCGTGCGGAGGGCTCATGACGCTGACGGACATTTATTGCATTTACAATCGAGCGCGAGGGACCAATCTGATTTCTCCCGAGGATTTGTTGGATGCCGCGGGGTGTATGAAGAGTCTCAGATTGGGCATGTCCGAACGGACGTTTCCCAGTGGTGTCAAGGTCGTGCAAAGTGACAATTTTGATGATACCCGCATGGCGATTCGATTGAAGGAATTGGCCGAAGAACAACTCACGGTTCGCACTAGTAGTAGTGCCAATGGTGATGAAGGGTTGACCGCCATGCAAGTCTCT